CCCCTCGGATTCCGAAGCGCTAGCGGGAGCGCCCTAGTCTGAACATTCGTGCTGAAAAATACGCAATGGAACACGACCTTGGGGTACGCCCTACTCTCAACGCTCGTACAGCAAAATTCGAAACCGAATCCCACCTTGGGGTGCGCCCTAGTCTGAACATTTGCGGTTACGACGCTCTTACTACAAAATCCGAAATGGCGCTCACTAGCGAAAACGAGAGTAACAAAGAGGTGCTGACGATGACCTGACTAAATTAATAACATAAATAATCCCAGCGGATACAATAAAGGGTGCAAATGGAGATAGGCGACACAAGACGTCGGTTTACAAACACAAATGGCCTAACGACAGGGAATGAAATTACGTGACCACACATTCGTAACCACTAAATTTGAATCTACATGATATACATATATATTATGTATAGTTTTTCGCCGTGCTCTGAACAGAACTTCCTCTCGTTAGGTCAGCTGATTAGATCAAACAACGAAAGAGTTAGGATTGGATCAGTATTTCCTCTGTTCAATGGAAAATTAAGATGTAAGAATCCACTAGTCCTAAATGTATCGGTGTAAGACTCCTAGACATTAACAAAAAAATATTGTGACAAAAGATTACCGAGAGAGAACCAGTACTTCACACGCAAGAGCGACATTACCTCAAAACGTCAAGAATGGATAACGCAACAGTGCTCCTATCGTCGTGAAGGCATCTTTCCACCGAATTCCGTGTGTTCTTTTAACTGAAATGCGAGTTCTGTGAACAGTGCGGCGAGTGTGTGCAGTGTTCGTTTTTCGACATCGAACACCTGTGCCATCCTTCAATTATTGCAGAGTAAATCCTCTGCTCGAGAGCAGTTCAAAGGTGCTACAGTGGTGCAGTGGTGCTCGCATCGGAGACATCGACGACTCCAACGCGCAGAAGACCAGGAGTTCTGTTTGGGTCGTGAGCCGTCGATCTGTTCGTGATCTCCAGGCGAACGATGGCGTCAGCGAGCTCTCGAGTCGCCGCCGCAGTGCGCGAGGGCAGGCAGCTCCCGAAACGGGCCATGACGTGCGGAGCGCTCTAATAACTGCACTGACGTCCGCTGACTTCCCAACTGGCCCGTGACGTCTCACGCTGGCCCTAGCTGGCAATAAGCATCTCTGAACGACGTAGTGTCACATAGTTGTAGGGCTAGTCCATAGTGATAGTATGTACTGCTATTACCACAATTATGATAAATGTGTCAAATCGGCGATTACCAAAAAATTGCCAAAAAAGGCAACGGCGCCGAAAGTATACAAACTACAGAAACTTATATGTTTTAGTGGTAAACATTGTTTTCTGGTTCTCAATATACAATGCCTGACAATATTTTGCATGCATTTTCATGTCTTGGAAAGAGCAAATTGTCATTAACATTACTACAGTGTTAACGTACAAATTTAAACAACATTAATACAATAGGATTCTAACGCATTTTTTTCTCTCTTCGGGCTACTAATATTATCGGGCGCACACACGTCAAACTATCAATAAACCAAATTTTGCTTATTAATATCAATCGTATTTGTTTTAATTAGCAGAAAAACGCTGATGTGTTTATTTTTCCAAAACGAAATTTTTTTTTCCTCTCTAATGTATTCTGAAACAAATGTTTTGTTTTTCATTCCTTCAATGAACAATCAGTCGCGCAGTCTTCGATCAAACGGCATTTTCCCTAGCATACGCCGATGGCGCGTGCGTGCGTCATGTCCTGAGCGCGGAGAGGTGCGAGAAAAAACAACAGAAAACAAAAGGCGCCCGGATGTTTGCGTCCTCAACAGGACCTTTCCACTGTCATGTCAAAGGCAGAGGGTCATTAATGACTTTATGGACTTTCTTTCGTCAATTTAAATTGTATCGAAGATTACCGCGGATCTCTCTAATATGATTCCTTCAGGCCTTTTCGCACAATTTTATCTTTATTCAACCAAATGCAATAATAAACACTATTATATTTTGAATAGTTAAACAACCCTAGAACAATATCAACAACTATAATAGTGATGAAGCAGTGCAATTTAATGACGAAGGTAGCTAGAGCATTGCAATAATCATTCTTATTCAACTTAATTTTAACAATGTACTATGTAGAGACTTGGCAGTAAAAAAAATAGACAGAATATATTTAGATATTTAAAAATATATGAGCCAATATTGTCTCTCTCAATGGGAAAATTTACATGTTTTACGACATAGAGATATACTTAAATACTATTTGCATAAGACTTCTTCTTCCATATTTCATGATATGGTTTGATTTAAAACATTCATTACATCAATGCACTTAATTCATTTCCATATCAAAGAATAGGAAATTATAATTATAGAAGTTCTACAATATAATGGTAATGTAAGCATAAAAATTTGGATCCCATTTTTAAAAATAGACTTCTAATGCCAATGTCGTATAGTAAATTTGTCCCTCCAACATTCTCAACTTCTGAATAAATATTCCTGTGTGCTCTATAGACATGTATGGCAGATTTAGGGTAAAATATCTAAGTTAAAGATGTTTTAGTATTTATAGGAGAATTAAGTGCTCAGTCAGTTTATCAATTCATTATGAGATACGTGATTTGAGGACTAGTAAGTGTAAACATTTCTTGTATTAGGGTTATCACCGCAAATGAATTGAAGATGCTGGACGTAAATGCTCAGTAAGAGCACCAAGATAGCGTATTCTAGTTAACAAATGTTGTTTTGTATGGCAAATTCAGAGGATGAGACTAAATTCTCCTCATGTCCAATGTCTCATTCCACACTTGAGATAGTGTGGCGCTGCTGTGAATATTAACATGCAATTTAGCAGAGCAAGTACTACAGTGTTATTAGCCTATATAAAAAGTTCTTTACAAAAATTTAGGAGGTATAGTTCTAACACTGAACTGATGTTAATCTCTCCAACGAGTTTCCTAATTCTGTTATCAGTCAACTTAACACTCGGAAAATTGTTGCAGAACAATTATTGTTGAATGAGGCTAAGTGTATATTGAGAAGTGTTCAATCCAATAACAAGTATTTGTTTACAAAAATAAATAAATAATAAATAAATCTTCGTATAAATAAGCAATAAAAGGAATTGTCAATGTGTGTTTTGATTTGATTATCCACTACCGTAGAATTACTTTTTCTCACCATTCAATATGAATGAAAAAACATTAGTTTTTTTCAATCGCATTGGTCAGCAGTTGCTTAACATTTCATGGATAATTCTTTCTTCTAAACTGAAGATTTTAATGTCCTTCAAAGCATTTTACACCTTACAACTCTCACCTTCTAAATCGCTACATCATTTTGGCTCTGTAGATCATGTCGACATATCATTCGACCATTTCATTGACAGGTTCTAAAACAGTTGAGCATTGCAGAAGACCACATTGCTCGTAATATATTTTCCGCTTCAAAGAGTCAGTTGTATAGTTGGAGGTTAGGGATAGTTCTTGTGAATGATTTTACATTGTTTCAATATTGTCACTAATAATAAAAATAATATTGTAAGAATTGATGCAAGTCATGTTGAAAAGCAGATGAAATTATGTTATCATTCGAATTAAATCATAAGGGTATAAATTGACAGACCAAACACTGAATTTCAAAGAGCTAGTGTAGAACTTTCATTATGCTTTTAATTAAACTCACAATAGACTAAGTCTTAAAGCCTACTTTTCTTACATTGTAGCTACCTAAATACATAAATTACATGCAAACATTCTTCAGTTGGTGGAAAGTGAAAATAGTAGGGAATAAAACAGTTGTAGCACAAGTTAGCCAAAGTTTCTAATGTTAACGCAAATAATTTCTGTGTTGCAGACTGATTACACCTTCTGTTTGAATTGGAATTAATGAGCATCAAAAAACCCACAGACTGGGCAATAGTAATTGCTCATATATTAGTGCTTTTAGAAAAACATTTTTGTGCAGAAACCTTAGGATGTTTTGAATATCTATGAAAATGGGGTAATCAAAATATGTCTAGTATGATGTTCTGTCTTTTAACCACACAAACAATGCTAATTTTTATAGTATTATTTCTCCACCTTTGATTCAATACATTTTCTGAGCACATTAAGCCTATATTGAGATTGAGATTGCTAAAAGGTTCTTAGACTTAATGTTCCTGGGACCATGTCTGTTAGAGTAAGTCTAAGTTTCAGGTGAGAGTAATACCAAATTGGATTGCCATCAATATGATAGAAAATATTATGATTTTTTAAGAACTTTAGCTAATTTTGTAAGGGCACTAAAATTAGATAATCTAACCAAAACATTTTTACTGGAATCTTTTGTTAGCACTGCCTTTTATTTTCAAAAGACCTTTGATTCGCAGTCACTTGTAAACCTCATAACCAGACACCTGGTGTAAACTGTTTCTGTTGGTTACTTTAGTTGTCAAATTAAATAATGAAGAACTCGAGTCAGTATTTCTGTTCCATTGAAAGTTTCAAATTCAGGTAAATCAATTATTTTGTTTCAACAGGAATATGTTCTTCAAGTTTTCTCTCAATGTACGCTAATTATCAGAACCCTGATAACACAAATACTCAGTAAAAGCAACCAAGAATCAGGGCACACTCTGCACACAATTCACACAAGAGTCTGAATGGCACATTTTGTCAGTCATGGTCAGAACTGCTGAGCAACTGAGATCCAATAACCACCACTGACATGGAGTGCATATGTCGGTGCAAAACGATACAAACGTTCATGGAGCCACCAGTATTTATTTCCAGTAGTGATGATGAAGTCATAGGCTTCCGCGACCAGAGTCATGTGGGTGATCTGGGCTGTCCGGGTGACGCCGCGTCGAAGGCTGAGTTGCCGACGTTTCGACCACCCTGTCGTGGTAATACCAGCCCTGAGGAAGACCACAACAGGATGGTCGAAACGTCGGCAACTCAGCCTTCGACACGGCGTCACCCGGACAGCTCAGATCACCCAGTAGTGATGATGTGTTCAGGAATTTTTAAGCAAATTAGTAACAGTGGCACCCAAGAATCAGAAAATAATTCAAACCCTGAATTGGCAGAATAAACCAGTTCACTATTGAGTTCAACAATAATATTCATGATTTTCCATTCTCAGA